ATGCTGAACACTGTGCCAGTGTATGGATGAATCTCAAATGAAGCATAATTTTTTTAAAATAACGTCAGTCATCAATGTTGACTGTTTCAATTGTAAAGATAAAAAAAAAATATTTTTGACATTTCAAACTTAGAAGAAGATATGGAAATAACGTATGTTACTTGTCTTGGTTTGAAAGATTCTCCAAAAATGCAAAGTTTTTTTTTAGAAAAGAATTCGGAGGAGTTACATTTATTAATTTTATATCATTGACGTGCACTTGACCTTCATGTCAATACAGTTAAAACCACTCAAAACCAGGTGTGCACGCTATCAAAAAAATCAGCTTCAAATGGTTTTCATTTAAGTTTGGAAAAAATAATAGACACATAATTTCCAGGGCAATATTAAGTCTTATATGGCATCAAGAAAGGCATTTTACTCAACAAAAATGACTATATTTGGTATCATAGGTAGGATGAATATGGAAAAGAATAGTTGTTTACACTTTGAAACAAAAACTTTGAGAAAAAAAAATCAAGATATGTTTAACATATCGGTGGAAAAAAAGACATTCTGTCAATGAGCAGTCAACAAACATGTTAAGTTCATTTTTAAATTGTATTCAAATAAAAAAAATAATATTAGGATTAATTTTCATGTAAAATTTTATTTTTTCAATCTAAATGAAGAATGCAACGTTATTTTGTCCAGTGTACTAAATGAAATTTCTAGACGTCGACAGAGACGGGGTCAAAACATTTTTTTCATAATATTCGTTGATATCTGATTCAATTCCATAAACCAAACATGACATGTAGTCAAAATATATATGTAAAATTTCTTGACTTTCAATACATAGAACATTTTAAATGTGAAATTGTTTTATTATATCAAATATTAAATGTATGAATAACTGTTAAATATGATATTGTTTTCCTATCTTGAACAACATTATATATAGCTGTAAATAAAATTCAAAATACTAAATGTTTTCACATTAAAAAAATTAGGTGTTCCCTGCCAATAACTCGCTCAAAAAATTGTCAAAGTTAGCTAGAAACTAGTTTTGTGATGAAAATGTTTAAAATTTTATTTAGTTTTTTAATAAAGATCTTAAAGTGCATCCTGGATTTTTCCAGCCGTTTGTATATTTTATTCATTAAGTCGTACAATATTCTCGAATTTCCCCAGCGCATCCGCTGTCTTTGTTGAGTTGCAATTCTACACAAAATGACTGTGTATCTTATAGCAAGTAGCTGAAGAATTTTACATATGGTCATATTGAAGTAAATCTGAAATCTGATTCATATAATTTTTCGAAATATATTATTGCATAAATCCATTTTCAGTTTAGAGAAACAGAATGACAATTCAATTATTTAATAATACTAACACAGCCATATGCTTATAAAAACATGCATAAGAATTCACAGTATTTACAGAATTTATAACACTTTCTAGCGTAAACCTTGTATTTGACCTTGATATTTGATCTTAAAGAAGATGGGCGCATTCCCGTGACTTCTTAAGTTTGCAGGATTTCACATCATACTTACATTTATGGTTTAAATTTTTTTTGAGAATGATTGGTTGTTTAAACACGTCGAGAATTTTTTGAAAGAACTTTCAAGTTTGAAAGAACTTGTGATGGATTGTACAACATTTTGTCCTATATATCTCGGAACTCAGGGACATTGAGTAGATGTTAATGTTTCACAAAAATAAACACCTAAAATATTTAATGCATAGATGCATGATACGTGTACATGTACATTATGAACACAAGACTGGAATTGATTTCGCAACGTAAGAAACAACACCTTATCCAAAATTAAACTAATTCAAAATTTTAACACATCAGTATAGAAACGACACTTTCAAATGGAGTAAATTAAAAATCTGATAAAAATATATATTATATATTGCGATATATTATTGCATAAATCCATTTTCAGTTCAGAGAAAAATACCGACAATTTAATAGTAAATAATACTGATACTGCCAAACGCTTAAAATCCCAGTAACATAAACATAAAACATGAATTTAACATTTAATACTAGTAAGTTGTTTCAATTAAGACGCGAGCAATACGGAACAATTAATTCCCATTATGACTGCTCAAGTTTGTCGTGATTTGAAATCATGCGCATTGATTGTTTCAGAATTTGCTCGCTGAGAGATTGATTGATTGATTGTATGTTGTTTAACCTTCTCTCGAATATTTTTTACTCACATGGAGACGTCACCACTTGCCGATGGAAAGCTACAAATTTAGACCGATACTCGCCACTCAGGGCCATTGAGTATAGAGGGATCTTTTTCGTGCCAGCACCTACTGTGACACAGGACCTCAGTTTATACAGTTTCATCCGAAGGACCGGTCTCCACGTCCCACAGTGGGATTCGAACCCACGACGTAAGGATAAACTCCTAACTTCGCAACGGTAGAGCAGGCCCTCTAACCATTGCGCAACGCAGGCGACACTTGCAAAGAGAAATGACTGCACAGGATATACTGTTGAAAAAATCGAGAAGCTTTTACCTACCCGCGAAAGTGATATATTTATCTGTTTCACTTTGATAAAGACATTCATGGTAAACTAACAACTAAATTAAATGTGATTTTTTTAAATTTTATTAACATTGGTTATCCCTTGGAAATTTAAAAATGGCTGTCTAATAAATGTAATTTTAGCAGTTATGAATTAAAATCTTTAAACAATACTAAGAGTGTTGAAAATATTAATCTAGGTTAAAGTTTATACTTAGTCATGCCCTTGAAATTTAAAGATATCCTCTATATTGAAGTTACATGGGCTAAAATCTCGTGATTTTAAAAATCAATTGACAAGTCTAAATAATATAATATTTCAATATTAGTCCTCGATGTGTAGTTTTAACAATTAATAATATTATATTTCATTTATTTACAAGATTTTAATGAAAAGTCAAAGAAATCGCCAAAAGCTGTTAAACAATTCTACACAAGTCAATTCAATTGTTAAAACACCGAGAATAAGTTTAAATGCTGCATCAAAGTTCCCATTCATCGTAATGAAATTTATATAAATGTTTATAAAATGTTCATAAAATTGTGGGAAAAACTCATCCATGCAACCACTCCTTGTTTTTTCGTATACCTAGTTGTAAAACATTAGATACATACCACTGCTTTTTAAAATAATAATTGTAATTGATAATTGGCCTAGATATAATACATTTCATAGTAAGGCAATCAGCAATATTTATTCGTATCAAATTTGATGTCCCTAAGTCAGGAAAAAGTAAGATTAGATATACAATTTGGTTTTCTTTCCAGCGTCTGATTGGTTATTATTCAAAAAGGAACGCAAATTGGTTTTTGCTTAACCTGGTTTGGTTTTTGGATACACCAATCCCCATCCCCCACGACGACCATCTGAATCATCCCTCTTTATAAGAAGCACATCAGAAGAAAGGAATGTGAGCAAAATTATCTTAACATATTAATTGTATGCATCTTTAACACAGATACAAATGTTCATGCATGTGGATAATATTTTATTGGCATTATATAGCTTATTTCAAATGATATTTAAATTCAAATGAAGTAAATAAAATAACGAAGTAAATAAAGCAAATTGTGAAGCTGTTTTTTGTGTGAGGATAACAGAAATTAATTTGAAATACACCATCTTTCAGAAATGGCAAAAAACAGTTAAACAATATGACAAGTTCTTTAAATACTGTAAAATAGTATATTGCGTCAAAAATGTTTTTGAAAAAAAATTATGATCTATTAAAAATGTTAAACAACTGGTTATGGATGTATATCAAGTTGTGAGAAAGGGAAGTAATCTACAAATGTTATCTACAGTGAAACAGAAGACCATACATTAGAATGAATAAAATAGCTGTACACAGAGATACTAATTTAGTTTCAATTGCCTTTCTGAAAAGTCATCACTTAATAAGAAATGAAATTTTGTAAATTAACAAATACCTTATAATTTGTGCATGTCACAACCTGATTTATAATCTACATTTTAACAAAAAAAAAAACATTTTAAAAGGCATACATGATATTCTCAGATTCTTGTATATTTATCATGGTTATAGACGTATACAAGGCAAAGTGATGAAAGAACAAAGTAATATATACCAATGATATACATGATGTAATCTCTGAAATATACAATATTTGCACTGGACCAGGGTTCATTATTTATGAAACATGAAAATGTGTATTAATGTATTGGGTTTTGAGCAAATCGTACCAAATGGTTGTTCATGAATTGATATTGCTAACTTTTTGAGATTATATATAAATTACATTCATGTCTGTAAATCTTACCTCAGTGCATGCTACTCTTTTGCAATTTTTCATGTACACACTTGAAAAAATATTGTAATGGCATGAAAACAAACAGGAATAAATCAGAAAATGTCGCATTTAGCAGGTTGAGAGGTTTACTATTGAAGATGTTACCGACTCTGTAAAATAATGAGACAGGCGTGCAGAGTTCAATGTTAAAACCTGTGGACGTCAACAGATGATTAGACGGAAATTTTTGTGATTGTATCTCCATTTATGCAGAAATTGATATAAACAGGGAGTTTTTGTTCAATATCGGATTTCTTTATGTTGCAGACCAAAAGAGTGCAAAGATCTTCTACCTGCTGTGTATAAATTTTTAAAGTGTTAGCTTCACTGTCAGTCTCCACCAGAAGTTTCCAAAAAAAGCCATCGCCAGAAGTAGCCTCTGTGTAGGATAGACCACATGTTGGACATTTGTTTTTTTCTAACTTTGTATTGGTACATTCCGCTTTGATGCAGCATCTACATTGATACAGAACATGAACAAAAGATTGAAAGTATATAAAAATCAAATAATTAATGCAGGTTAAATATACTCCTTAATGAAATGTATAAATTATTTGAAAGATATTATACTAGAAAAATAAAATTGTGCATATAAAAAAGGAGAAAACATACTTGTACATCTATAACTCAGCTATTTTATGCAATTTTTCCTTCTTGTTAGGAAACTGGAGACAAATCTGTCGATTTTGTACCAGTCAACAATGATGATGCTTTATCAATGATATCATCTGGAATTTCCGGTAGATGACCTGTTTTGGATGCTATTGTTTTGCTTGTGATTGAAATCTCACTGTAAATTTTAAATTATTATGTAAATTAATTGAAGTTGTTTCTGAATATATCTAAGTATAAATAATAATCAATTTTTTTAAAAATGTTATGTAATTACCATACATGTACAATGATTTTTGTTTTAGACTTCACCATATTAAAAATAAATCTGAAAGTATTTACCCGTTTTTGATAAAGAAGTCTTTAAGTATGAGAACCGTATTTGGCTGTATAATGGTGACTTTTTCTGAGTCATAAACTTTGGCTAAGCAGGCATAGGTGGTATCACAGATTGCAGCAATGAACATTTTACCAGTTTTTCCATTTCGTTTCTTGTAATTTCTTAATGGACGAACATCAATAACTTTAACAGTCACAAACTCCGCTATCAGAGTTTTATTTTCTTTTGTGAAACAATCCGACAGTGAAGAGTGCATCTGAAAGTGAGGAGATATATTTGGAATTTTTATTTCAGTTTTGTGTGAGTAATTGGTATGTAAAACATTGACATATTTCAGGAAGCGCGCCAAACTTATGAACATACCTTATACTTAAATTTTACATGTTTGAAATAACCAAATATATACTAAATATTTGAATTTCCCGCTGTCATTTATCGTTCCATGTATATTTCTATGCGTGATTAAACACAAAAATGGTATTCAGATCAATTTCACAGTTGGCAGAAAACACAGCGAATTTAAATTTAAGGAAATATTGCATAACTGAATTTACTTTTGGATCTTGTAAACATCTTGTAAACAGGCCTATGCTGGGCACTCAGGGCCTTTGAGCAGGGAGGGATCTTTATCGTGCCACACCTGCTGTGACACGGGACCTCGGTTTATACGGTCTCATCCGAAAGACCGCCCCATTTAGTCGCCTTTTACGACAAGCAAGGTGTACTGAGGACCTATTCTAACCCGGATCCCCACGGGGCGAGCAGGAATGTGAGACCAAAAAGGCAAATGAGTTACGCCTGGAAAATAAAATTACGCCTGAAGCAGAATTACGCCTGGAAAGTCCTTATTATTATATATTATTATGTGACATTAAAACCTTAATTGAACCAGGCCAGGAAAGAGTTAGCTCCTCCAAAGTCTGCATGAACACAGTTATTATTTGCAACTGTCAATAAATAATGTACGTCTTACCTTTTCTAATTTCTCTGTGGAAGATGTCTCCAGGAATGGTTACAATGAAATATGAGGTTTTCTCTTTCTCAACTCATTTATATCAATAGGTTCACTTGAAACACTCTGATCTAAGGAAGGTTTTTTCTTTCTCAACTCATTTATATCAATAGGTTCATTTGAAACACTTTGATCTAAGGAAGGTTTTTTCTTTCTCAACTCATTTATATCAATAGGTTCACTTGAAACACTCTGATCTAAGGAAGGTTTTTTCTTTCTCAACTCATTTATATCAATAGGTTCACTTGAAACACTCTGTTCTAAGGAAGGTTCTGCAATCTTTGCCACCTGTGCCTGAATCCTAAAATGGAAGTTTCTTTCTAATGATATCAAATAAAAAGAATTTTTGTAAAAACAATTCAAAAGAAATGTATACATTTAAGGCTAATTTCGCTGTGTATATTCATTTGTATCACATTAATTGCCAGTGTTTTACTTATGCAACGGTTAACTTTAGAATTGTATTAAGTATTAAATGTCTACGAAGCAATGTGTGTTCTTTATCACGCCATCATATTTAAAGTGACAAGGGACTTTGAATTTCAGTTTTAATGCTGGTGGAGAAGGATTGTCAGTCTCCTTGTTAATGTCGTAAGTTTAATATGACGCAAAAAGTAGAATTAATTTTAAAAAAAGCAAGTACCTTATCACTAGGCTACCATGATCGGTTAAAGAATAAACAAGTCAAGGAATATACATACAGTAGAGAAGTGTGCGTGGGAGATTCATGAGCCAATGGATGTTTTCTGTAAAAGGAAGAAAGAAAGTAGATCAACAAAATGCCTTTTAAATAAATAAACTTAGAATTACATTTTGTAAAAATTATAAGTCCGTTATACAATGTGTCAATGAATGTTACAGTATCTATTCTGCATGTAGGAACCTGCGTTTTATCAATGAATCAATTGTTTGAAAGACTTTTTTAAAATATGAAACCATAAATCCTCGTTGGTTGTTTTCAAGGTATAAAGAAACACAATGTTTCGTGCCCACCTTGAAATGTTAAACGTTGCAAAATATAACTACTCAACAATTATTTATCTAGTTATATCTACGAAATCAAATCCCCTCAAACAACGAAAAATTGACCCCACAAATATACGTGATTTAACCGAAAAAGCATGTTTATGTACTCTTCTTTTAAAAATGATTCAGAGACACATGACTAAAATTTGAAATTGAACAGTATAAATGTTTTTTTTTTTTTTTTTTTTTTTTTTTTGTTCTATGTTGCTCAAGTGCAATGCATTGTAATGGTGCATGTTAATACTCTAGAAAATACATGTTTTATTGATTTTTTTTTTACATAAAGCTCTGCAAGTTGGTTGCATGCTGCAAAAAAATGAATTGATTGTTTGATTAGTCAATAGATAAAGTTCATTTTTAATCCATATAATGAATAACTAGAATACAATGAGGCTTACAAACCTGTGTTGTGTAGCTTGAGCTTTGCTGTCTGTGGTCAAATCCGACTGACTGCTCCGTTTTACAAGAAGAAAAGAGAGTGCAAAAACAAATGTATATTCAACGTTCCTAATGATTATTAAAATTAAAAGTTGATAAATGTTCTTTTTTTTTTAACAGAATTTAAGACATGTTAAGATATTTTTATATTTAATACTATTTCATAGATATTTTGATAATTGATATATTTTCATGAAATATCCTCGTTTTTATACAATTATGATCATCTATTCTATATTCAAGAATATCACTATCATCTAATCAATTTTTGTCATGTAAAAATTGTTTAATATTGGTTGTAACACATTATTTGATTCCAAAAAAAATAGACTTTATTGTATAACCTAGATTTCCTAGGTCAATAATGTCTTGCGTAAAAAGCGTATTAATGTGCGTTTAAATAAGTTCAATTTGAAATTTTAAATTTCTACACTTTATGATGGAAGAATAGATAATAGGGGTGAATTTTATAGCCCCTTAAGTTATACTCATCTGGTGTAACCTGAGTTGGAACTCTTTGCGCTTTTTTTTATACACCGCTTCTAAAAAAGCGTAAATTATTCCAAACCAGGTCAAATCAGTATGTTTTTCCATACGTAGCTATTATTTCATTCATACCTCAAATAATTCTGGTGCATCGGAAAAAAATATAACTATATATATAACAAAGAAAACATCAAGAGATTGTTTATTGTGCAAAAGAAAAACACTAACCTTGAAAACTTTCGAATGATGTCCCCAACTTTTAAGGATTTTTCCTCTCCCATTTATGGCTCAAAAATTTTGAAAAGAAAATAAAACATATCAAATGTGTTCTCATTCCTACAAATATTTTTTCCCAATAATTATAACAACCGATCCGATTAGCCAATACCCTGAGCAGCATTTAGCCATCTTTGAAAAGGTTTTTTTCTTTCTTCTCTCTAACCGACTGGATAAATTGGCACGACTTAAGACTCTTTTTTCATTTTCCAGTGGACAATATTTTCCTCCCTGTTTTTTAAAACCCATGAACAGAAATGTTGAAGTTGTCTTTAAGAATGAAATTTTTTACCAACATACCGACCTATTTCCTTAACCCTGTGTCAGGACATTGTAAACAAACATTATTTAAAAGATTTTCTTATTCAACAACTTTTAAAGTAATAAAACGACCTTGACCCACAAGTTTAAAACAAGAGACATCCTTAACTGCAAATGCAACCGCCTTCTTTTATGGGATTACTTTAAAAAAAATCGCATTATTTGAATCAAGTTGCATTTATATTAATAATGCATGATAGGTACTTACTGCTTCCAAGTATCGAATCATAAAGAGTTGTACCTGTACAATCTAAGTCGTTAAAGTCCCCGTGCTGTTAAACAACGATTCCCATAGCTGCACACATTATTTCTTTACTGTGCATTAAAACTTGACATGCTGATAAATAAACTTTAAACTCAATGTCGACTAATTATTAAGCATTATCTCTGAAAGATCATTCTTCAGGGCTCATGATTCATGATTAAGGGTCCAAACTCAGTGACTTCCAAATTTCAAATTAAAACAGTTCGTTTGAAGTGAAGGTTTATTGTTTCAGAAGATTTTCAAATCAAAATTACTTTCTCTAGATAAATTGTGTCTCTTTTAATAATGGAAGGTTAAATGACAAGAATTACTTATTGTTGCGATCTGTATTAACTTAACACAAGCAAAAATTTGATGAACTGATTGATATATATTTTTGACTGATTTTGATTTGAGATGACATAAATAGTCCATCCCTGATATACAAAGAAATCGTATGTTTTCCTTGATGCTTAGATATGAGACTTACTTTTGCTTTCTGTATAATTCCATACAAAATTTTGCACAATTTTTTAATCTTATTACAAAAATCTTATAAAATTCTCAAACTATACTTGGTAAACATTATTCAGGCTACGAATTTAAATGTAAATCTATGAAAATATGGCTGGTTTATGAAAAAAGTTTGTTTGTTATTATTTATCCTTAAGGATGAAGACATACATGTACTAGGTACATTGTAATATGGAGTTTAATAATTATCACATTTTTTACACCGGAAATATTGTACACTGTAGTGTACTTTACGACGTTGCACGTTTCAATTTGCATTAAGTATTCAGTTTGATAAGTGCTGATAACGTCTTCCTCGCGTGACCTCATGAACATGCATACCTACGATAATGAAAGATTTGCGCACCACATAAAATGTAAGACTTATTTTTGGAGCGAGGGAGTTGTTTTCCCTTTTGGCCCCATATATGATATTTACAATCCCCTTACATTATTGCCAATAAACGGAACACCAAAATGTATTTTCGAAAGATTTTGTCTTCTTCAAAATTGGAAGACGGTATCTAGAAACCAGAGGTAGGAAAATTGTCCTTTGAAAAATTGTTCCTTTTTTGTTTGCTTCATGATGAGTACAAAATTATGAAAACCTATTCTTCATATTCTAAATTTAACTTTTTTCGGAGAGAGCACAGTAAGATAGACACAAGAGCGGAGCAGGAAAAGAGTTGGTATAATTATGACAGACTGATACTATGGAATCATCAATGTTTGGAGAGGGGGGTGTAATGTTTGTCTGTAACCAGAATTCGCTCGGTCCAATCATGCCCATGGAACGAATTTTCGTAAATAACTTGCACATTTTATAGGGACCCCTTCGAACAATGAGGATTCCTTCGTATCTGCTTTAACACACATAATTTAAGCAAAAATATAATAATAAATCTAAAGTGAATAGCTACATATAACTCATTTCCCTACCTCATCCAGTTTTACAACTACAAAAAGAACCTTCCTTGGCATATATACATAAATGAAGTCTGAAATTCCTAAAGGGTCACTTCTTTCTAACAATGTCTCAAATAAAAATGAAGCCACGTCGCTTGATATTTGTTAGATTTCACATGCATAATTCAAGGATATGTTTACTTACTCTTTTCGAGGAAATCTGATAGCCAGGTATTATAGATTTGCTAGTCATAGCAATTTGACGAACAAATACAGTTACCAAATAAAATACTTCCCTTCTGTCTGACGTGTAAATGGACTTTTAACCTACCCTCAGTTTAATGCAAAAAATGTTATCTCTAAATAATCTTAAACTGACTTCTACTGAATGTCAAGGAAAATTATGCTTGGAGTAATCTACTTTTCTAGCAAATCGAATGAATTTTATACAAAAAATGTCCTCAAAAGAAAAAAAAATGACAATTGCATTTTTTTTATATTTCAAGCAGTAGGTGTAACTGCGTTTTAATTACGAAAACGCTTTATTATCAATGCGGCTCTCGAAACAAGTAAACAAACAGATGTACCTTCGTTCTTTAGGTTGATAACGCTACACAAGGAGGTTGCTTTGATTTTTAAGGGCGCTGTGCCAGCTCAGAAAAAAGCAGTGTGGTTGATTGATAAGAAAAATATCGATCAGATATAACAGTCTATAAAGAAAATAATAAATTATGCCCTGTGTATATAACAATCTTTTTATTCATTTTAAGTGAGGAGGGGTGTAAATGTATTATCATATTAACCAATATACCAAAAGCATTTGATTTCAGAGACGCTAGTAGGTGATTCTAGGTTATATTAATACTTATCAATTAGTTTTTTGAGATACTCTTTTTTACATCGGCAATCATGCAAGCCAACATTAAGACGCATAGACAGTTTGCAAAGAAATTTTTGCAATTGCAAAATCATTCTTAGATTGGTAATATGTCCATAGTCCCGTTTTCTTTAATATGACAGGGCGCATTATTTTTTTTTTTGGGGGGGGGGATCTTACATGTGTATCTCTTTTTTTAATCTATGTTAAAATAATACTTATTGGGAGAAAATATTTCATTGTCATACCATCAATATAAATATATATGTTAAGAAGGTCTAGGCTGCGACTGACCTGAAATAAAGGGACAGCAACTGTTCCTTCGTGATGCGATTTACACCTTGAAGTGATTTGTATTTCCTTCGGATGAGACATTATAACCGAGGCTCCGTGTCACGCCAGGCGTTGGAGGAAGATAATAATCCCTCCTTGCGCAATGTCCCTGGATATGGGTGCCGAATAGAGGACTGAATTTGGAGCACTTCATCGATATGTAGTGACGTCTCTACATGTACATTTATATGTGTAGAAAAAAAAAATTTGAATGGGATGTACGACAACTTTGATTTTCAATAAAAAATGAATGAATTAATTAATTTTATATAAACACATTACAACATCTGATTAGGAAAGATAAATAGTTGTACCGAGAGACCTTCATTATATACCTATCTTCTCCACATTGAAGTTTCTTGAAAGATCTTTAACATGAAAAAATGTTTTTATTAAACATTAAGTCAAAAAATTGTGTCTTTTCTATGTGTGTTAAGTGATTCCATGATTAAAAAAAAATATGTTGTACACTCTTACCCCACTTTGAAAAAAATGTGCGTTGATTTCGTCCCAAATATAGCGCACTTTGATTCTTTATTTGTACTGAAAATATTCACTAGGACGTCACACAAATCTAGAAATTCTTTAATATTCCAAGAGTTGAAATGATTTCGTGTTTTAAACAATGCAAGAGATTTAAACTACATTAAAGCTTATTATAGCATGTTGTTTTGTCGTTTGATACATCGCATATATCAGGATATAAACAAATTATTTATCACTGTGAACACGTGGGTGTACAAATAAGCGATTTTGTAAAAGATGACGTAGTTTGTTAATGACAGGAAGATCAAGGAATATTTTCACAATATAAATGTATTTTATAAATAAATGAAATATAATTTGCCGATAATGAAGACGCCAATGACCGAGATAGATGACTATTTCATGATTTCACTGATATATTTTTCAAGGATTTTTTATTAACTGATACAGTCGTGTATTTGCCTGCAGTTACATTTTAGAGATATGTAAGGGTCTTGATAAATCTTTTTTCAGGAACATACGCTCACTGGATCATTGTAAGTTTTAAAATAAAGACTCTAGAAGTATAAAGCTTCGTGAAAAATTCTTCCATCTTGTTGAAACCTTGAAAGCAAATTAATTATTTTATATACAATGTAGCTAACCAGCACTTATATCATTTTAATAACGAAAGAATACATTCAATATTGGATCGCAGTTTTTTTCACAAATTTCAATGTGTTTAAAAATATTTGATTTTTAACTTGGTTTTGCCTTTTCACCTTAAAAAAAAATAAAATCACATGACTGCCACATGATATGACGTGTCAAAATGAAACACCTAATCGTCCTCAATATGATGATAAAATAACCATAATAACATTTGTCAGAAATATGAAAAAAAATGAAATGCTATCAACATTTAGAATGATTTTTTCCCCCTGTGAAATCAAAGACTCGTCAAACTGATATCTCGGAGACGTGAGTTTTATCTCTAGCGTCGGTGCTTTGGCATGTTCTTCAGAATAGGAAGTCGTCTGCATAGTAGGCTTACACTTTATAAATCCTCATGCTGAACACTATGCCAGTGTATAAATGAATATTTATTATAAATAAGGAATCTCACAAGAAGCATAATAGTTCTTTATCAATTCATGCTGTTAACGATTCTACTAGACATCACTTGTAAAAAATAACAAATATTTTTGACACTTTAATTTTACAAGAAGGTTAGAAAATAACGTATTCTACTTATCATAGTTTCAGAGTTTCTCCATTTTTTTAAGAAAAGTATTTAGAGTGGTATCTTTTAGTTATTCAATATGATTGACGTACACTTGACCTTCATGTCAATACAGTTAAAATCACTCAA